CGAGGCCACCATGACAGTTGCGGCTGTTATTCTAGGAACTGGGATGCTTTTCCCCTCTAGGACCTTTTCCACTGAGACTGTGTCAAAGACTTCGTAGACCCATGGCCCCTTATCATCGTCAACTTCTATGAAGGGCACAATGGCATCACTTAAAGCGCACATATTGTCTTCACCGTGCACTACAATTTCCTGTCTGTCCCACTCGAACTTGACCATTTGATGCAATGTAGAAGGTACGCCTTGGCGGCGTACCGCCTTTGGCGGCGTGATCAATGTCGCCCCAACAAGAGTATTAAGATGCCCCTCATTTATACCTGGAATTCCATATGACTCCCACTGGCCGATTGTCAACTCTAGTATATATGTCCCCACTGAGTCTTACCCCATCATCAACCCTCGAACACAAATATTGTTCTTATGAATTCTTTCATCGTCGACCTTCAGCTTGTTCAACGTGACGAAGGACATATGTTTCACTAGACCCATCGTGTCAACCAGCACTCGCGGTGACTACAGAATCCTCACACTTCACTGTCAGATAAAGACCATTTATGTTTCGTGCCCTCTACGGGCAAACTCATCATCGGAGAAGGTCACTCATTCACCCTCAAAGATTTTATTTCTATCTTCTCTAAATGATTCACGAGATCTTATCAGGGACATGGGCCTCATTAGTATTGTCATTACGCCCTCGGTGATGCTCTCTGAGTGGATAAGCAAATGAAAGCAATGAAATCTGGGCTGGTGTCTTCCTTAACGTTCAACATATAGACGTATCCTGCATTTCATCTTTTTCAATTATATTCTTCTGCCCTCCTCTGTCCTTCCACGACTTCTTAACCAACCATCCGGGTTGTCTTTGGGACCTGTTTTCTTAACTTTCAGCGGCAAAGCACCTTCCCAACGAGTCAGACCCTGCGCCTCACAAACTTCTTCTTTGATTTCCTCCCTTATATGTCACCACCACCGTGTTCATAACTCCAAGGAATGCCTTTTGCCTCGACTTTGGTCACTGGCACTGATGTTTAATAGCTTTATGATAAGGCTCTATTGCGAGCTCCCTTCACGACCAACCACGGGTTTGTTTGCAACCCCTTGTATTCACCACTTTTCTTGTTCTGTTTACTGCAAACAATGCTTTGATGACCCTTTTTCGGCTACCACAGTTGCTTAAGTGTCCGCCCCTTTTCAAACTGACTACCGCTTGTCCCACTGGTTTAACTTTCCTTTGAACTGGTTTCGCTAGCACGGATCATCATTACCGTTTGCGAGGTTTCTGGCTCCCTCCCTTGTGTATCAATTCAATCATGTGGCCTCGTGGTGACCGCAACGGATTCTGGTTAATATTTGTGCATCTGGGCCTTGAACCTCGATCCGGTGAGTGTGCAATGAGCTCCTCACAGCTGTTTTTAGTTTCCAACACTTCGTCTGTATCATGTTCGGGGGCTCACCAATATATTCACAACTTACTGAGTGTCCAGAATTTTCTAGGAAGGGTTTGCTTTTGGCCTCAATTGGATTCAACAGAACCTAATGCCACAACTTTATGAAAAGAGTGGATATGATTCTCCCAGTGGAGTGAAAGTCTTTTGCTTCTGTAATCTCTCATTTTTAAGGCTGGGCTTGGTCGACGTGACCTCCTCTGGGGGGGCGTTTCTGTAGGCTCTGGTGTGGATAGTGTTTTGGAGCTGGGTATGAGTTAAGGAGCGAGCCGGCGCACCCATTGCGCGTGAGCGGAGGCTGGCGTATAAGTTGAGCATCGGTGCGACGGAAAAAATATGATCTGGCAGGTTGTTAATAGTGTTTGGAGTTATATGTGGAGTGTATGGGTAATTTTAGGTGGTGGGGCCCGGCTGGTTGATGTTAGTAGGTGAAGGCCTCTGACTGACCAAGCTCCGAACTTCAACGAGTGCAACTTCTTCCTTCTCTTTTCTCGAAGCACACCCCCAGTGCCGCTTTGATGCCTGATGGTTGCTTGATCGCTGAATAGCTCATGATTTATTGGATTTCATCCTCCTCAAGACCATTCCTCCCATCTTCACAAACTTCAATTAAAAGATTTTCCCAATTGCTGTTACCAAGTGACCAAAATTAAGTCGCTCCAGAATCCCTCTGTAAAAAGTAACCCACCATCTCGCTTTCTTCATTGGTGTACTGTGGTCGACCCTCGCGGCCGTTCTCCTCCAGCGAACCATTACTCCCTAAGCTCTCCCCGGGCTTCTTCTCGAGTTTTATCAGTGACAGCTTACCAGCCATTCTCGGGGAACAATTTCTTAGGATTGTATTGGAAAATGGCAGGCACGCTGTGTCAAGGTCATCCAGGTATTATACCACCTACCATGTCCTGTCGTGTAACCAACCCAAAGCAGACCCACTCAGACTCTCGCTAAGTACGCCATCATAACTCATCTTTCCAACCTGCCCCTCTCATTTTGCTTGAGAATCCCCTCAGGTGGCTACCGGGTCACCTATGGCCCGTCAACAGATCGAACTTAGGCATGTGAACCCTGTTGGTAACTGAACATCCGGGAACAGGACACAAATCCTTATAGGCCACGCTGACTTTTGGCCACCAATCCCTTGCATGTTCCTGAAGGATTGCTCCAGGCTTTTTACTTTTCGAAACATCTGCCTTCCTGCTCCGGTTCATTAAGCGCTTTTCATTTCCACGGGAGCTAAAGTGAGGGTGTAGGAATATGGCTCGGAGCTTAAAGTATCAGGAGGGTTAGTACTGCTATCGTGAGTTTAAACAGTGTGGCTCATTGAAATCTTGCAAGTGTGACAGGTGGAGGTGCCACAAAGACAGGGTGATTGGTGGAGGAGACTTTGTTGGGGTGGAGCTTGGGAGGGTAGGAGTAGTTGCCAGTAACTCTTTGGTAGAAAGGGAAAGCTGAGATGAATCCAGTATGAGGCTCCTGAGGACTGAGCCAAAGTGGAATATAGGCCGGCTATTGGCGGGGTAAACTGCGCCGGCTCCCCTTACCAGCCTGATGCATTTCGGCCATTTGCGCCTCAACTATACATTCTCTTCCCTCATTGCATAACACCACCACCTTACCTCTTTTGATGGTCGTCCACAATTACTTGTATCTGATTCCTGGCCTGTCATGTTCAATTTGTCTTTTGACAGGATGTGTGAAATAGGTTGCCAGAATTGCAATCAACTTAACCACCTGCCTGGATCAATATAATCAACAACAACTTGGTTAGGTTAGGGCTTACAGATTTGATAACCGCACGTTTGGGAATGAATGCACCTAAGCAAGTAACGGATTCTATTATGCATTTTGCTCGACTCTGCGTCATCCCGGCTTTCCTTATTTCCGATTGCAACTTTGTTTGGTTTTTTTCCTTCTTCTTTTCTTTCCTCACTCTTGCCTTTGTTTCCTCTTTGTTCTTATTCTCATTCCCTCTTCTTTTCTATTGTCATACGTTTGCGTTTTCTTATTTCTCTTCTTTTTCCTCTTTGTTTTTCTTTCCTCTCTTGTTTTCACCTCTTTCCTTTCATTTTTTCTTGTTTTTCCCTTTTTTCTTTTCATTTAGTTATGAGCGAATCTGTGGAGATTGCCTACGTATCATTGAAACCCCGCAGAATCAGACAAGCGTTAGTTCGTGAAAATAAATGTAAAATAAAGCAAAAATTTTGGGATTTTCAATTTGATATATCGAATACTTCAATTACAAACTGACAGATAAAAAACTAACAGACTCTAATGAAGAGAAGAACTACAGGACTCCACCATTCCCTATTCTATTCAACGAAAAACAGACTCAATCAACTGACTGGGATTTTAACGAAAAGAAAAATACAGACTCAGATAACTGACAGGACTCAATTAGAAAAGGAAATACAAGACTCAAATGACAAGTCATGAATACATAAAGCTCCTGGTGCCCGCGGACATCGTCAGTCTTCGCCGCGGCCTATATGGAAGTTTCCCCTTGAAGTCTGTTGCAGGTCACTCAATCTGCTCACAAATATCATCACCGATCCAAAGAAGTGGTGCTAGTCATGTTCTCGCACACTTGGCATTTCCTATAATTGTAGTGAGAACGGTTAAGATTCTCTCTCTGATTCTGCCCTTTTCTTGAAGAAATCCCCTATCTGATTGGGCCTGCCTCCAATCTGCTCGGTCTACCTTGGTTTTGTTCCTGGAGTTGTTGCCAAGTCCATTTCTAATTGTTGCCAACGCCGTGTAGCAGTGCTCTGTTTCAACCTTGAATTCTTTTCGCTGTTTATGCATTTGTTCTCTTGTGCAATGACCCTTTCCTTAATCCCGTGAACTCATTATCGTATTCTTCTATCAATGCTTAACCATGCGGCCTTCTCTTCCGTGTTTTAGCAATTTTTTACTCTCTCT